CCAGTCTTGCTTTGACCCGCTCCTGACCTGAGTGGGTAGAACCAGGTTTCTCACCTGGTTTCTTTTTCTCCAGCTGCCAAAAGAGGGAAAAGGTGTCATCCTGTTATCTCACATTTCGGATGTATTCATTAAGGCCTGGCAGGTGGCCTGTGGGAGGTGGCTGTTTCTGAGAAAGGGTCCCAGGCAAGAGTGAGCACACACCGCAGACTGAGGCAGAACTCCCCTTACTCAGCTCCGCTCAGTGGACACAGAAAGCCGAATGGCTGCCTCCTCTGGGTGCCTGTCAGGTGCAGTTTTCTGCCTTTCTAGGTGCCCTGCTCAGTGTAGAGATTCTCTATTCACAGGAAAAAGACTCCCACCTTTATTTTTTTTAATGTTTTATTTATTTATTTTTAGAGAGAAGGGAAGGGAAGGAGAGAGAGGGAGAGAGAAGCATCGATGTGCGGTTGCCTCTCACATGGCCCCCGATGGGGACCTGGCTGGCAACTGAGGCATGTGCCCTGACCGAGAATCAAACCAGTGACCCTTTGGTTCGCAGGCCCGTGCTCAATCCACTGAGCTACACCAGCCAGGACAGACTCCTCGCTTTAAACTAAAACACCCACCCGGCTGCCATGGTGTTTCTGTGTGGGGGGCAGGCCCCTGGGCTCAGGGGGATGAGGGCCTGCCTCTTGTCTTGGAAGCTCAGGAAGGAGCGTCCTAGTGGTGAGCAGCATGGAGGCGTGCTCACCGTGTCCAGGCTCCAAGCCCTGTGCCCCTGGAACCTGCCTAGCTCATCCCTGCGAGGAAAGAAAGGACCCTGGTCCGCGAGCAGTTCATGGCCTGCGTTCTGAGGGGCCTCTTGGCTCCCTGCTCTCCTCTATTTTAGGCCCCACCTCTATCTTTTCTTAGTCCCCACCTCTGCTTTCCAGTAGATGCTGTGCCAGGCACAGCACACGCTGTATTCCCATCTCTTCCCCCATAACCTCTTCTGTGTCATGGAATGTCGAATGGGGCTCTTGTTGTTTCAGAATTGATGACTGGGGCCCAAATTTGAGGGCAAGGAGAATTTTCAACATTTTGGACCAGACCTCTCCCCGAGGGCTTAACAAGCCAGCCCAGACCTGACCCAGCTCTCACCTACTGTTGTCCCGCTGTCCCCCCTCCCCTGCCCTGGGCGATAGAGACCACTGGGTAGAGATGCAAAGGGGGAGTCTGTGAACCATGGTCTTTGTGGGAGGGCATGTTCCAGGTGAGGGGGTTCCTTACCCTCCCACAGAGGAGGCAGTTGGCTGTGGGGTTGTGTGGAGGGGGAGCGGCTGATGGCCCGGCCTCCTGCGGGATGTCTGCTAGGGTCACAGCCCCCAGCCCTGCCCTTTCCCCCCAGCCAGGGGCTAAGGGAGCTGCAGAGAGCACCAGGGCAGAGCCAGAGCACGTTGTGGAGTGGCTAGTTGTGATACTGTGATTTTTAATAAGAACTACATTAGATTTTCATCCCAGTTCCTAACACAGAGCTCCTAAAAATTCCTGGAATTTTCTAAGTGGTAAGAATGATAAAAGTGGCTTGATATTCATAACAAACCTATTTTTACCACCATTTGGTTGATGTTAGTGAAATAAATGACTTTTGGAGAACACCTGAGGATGGTGGCTGGTTAGGTGGCCAGGGCGACCAACCATGTGATTAGAGGGTTGAAACTTCAGGGGAAGGGGGAAGGGCTGGAGGTTGAATCAATCACCAATGGCCAATGATCTAATCAATCAAGTGTATGTAATGAAACCTCCGTAAGAACCGAAAAGAACCGCCCCCTCCAGCTGTCATCCTGCTCTCCATCGATGAAGGAAAATGGGATCATCGCTGGGTGAAAAGGCAGATCCGTTTTCAATTTTTGAGCTATCTCCATACTGCTTTCTACTGTGGCTGTACCGGTCAGCATTCTCACTAACAGTGCAAAAGGGTTCCCTTTACTCCACATCCTTGCCAGCACTTATTGTTTGTTGATTTATTTATTCCTGAGTTATATCCTTTTGTAATCACTGGTACCCTAGTAAGTCAAATGTTTCTGTGAGTTCTGTGAGCTGCTCTGGCAAATTAATCAAACCCAGGGAGAGGGTTGCGGAACCTCCAGTCATTAGCCCGCGGGTCAGAAGCTGAGGTGACTACTTGGACTTGCAATTGGCGTCTGAAAGGAGGTGGGGGACACAGTCTTAAAGATCTCAGCCCTTGACCTGAGTGGTCTAACACTGTCTACGAGTAGATAATGTCAGAACTGAGTTGAACTGTAGAGCATCTGTGCCTGAGCATTGCTGGCTGTGGCGTGATTCTGGCACCAAGCCCAGCCCCACACTTTGGAATTGGTGTCAGTGTTCCAGACATGGCCCCACTGGTCGCCATAAAAGGTAGCTGGTTTGAGTCGTCTAGATAGTACCCCCCTAAAAGCTTATCTCTGGAGCAGTAGCAAGAGACTGAGGGCATCCTGTAGGTATCGAGGCTGGAGAACATGGCAGAGGAGGGAGAGGAGAGAAGAAGGGGGTACCGAGCCGGCGCTCCCACGCTGGTGTCTGGAGGCAGCGCGTCAGTGCAGAGAGGCACTGCCATGCTGCCTCCCTTCACTGTGTCTATTTGGCATTTTATTCTAGGGGTTTCTGTCCCAACGTCTGTCCCTTTTTCTGTGCTTTTGTTTCTCTCTCTCTCCTCTCTGGGTTTATATCAGTCTCTCTCCAGGGACTGCAGTGTTGGGGTCAGACTCGGGCTCTTCCTGAGAGTCTGATGAGCAGCCTCTATGAAGACTTAGTTGTATTCTTCTGTCACTTGGTTGGAAAAGGTGGGCACATCTCGAAATAGACTGTTGTGGTGTAGAGACCAAACCCAGTTCACACCATTTGTACTTCCATTCTTGCGCTTAAGCGTCTCCCAGAGTTTCCTACTTCGTTCGCCTGTGATCTACTTCATTCTCACTTTAGTGCTGATTTAACCTAATCTGACTCTGACAAACAAATGCATAAGCAAAGCAGTCTTCAGAGTGAAAATACAAAGTCGAGGATGAAAGAGGAATAAAGTGTTGAAAATCACAATGGGAGTTTTAGGGATAGGGCATATGTGTTCACAATTAAGCAAATTCTAGGATATTAGAAATTAAAACCTAGAAGATTTTACAGATTGAAATTTAGGAGAGAGGAGGACAGGTAACCTGTGGTTACCCGGACTTCTGCAGGGCAAAGTCTAGATTCCACGGCCTGCACCCGGGGATTCAAATGCCACCGTGGACTTGGGCAGGGACATCTCTTCTCCCAGAATCTCTCTCCTGGGCTATAAACAGGGCCCCTCTCCCTGCCTGCTTCCTAGGAACATTGTTAGACTCAAGAGGGGATTGATACGGAAGCTGAAAGCACTTTCCAAATCACTTAGTGGCTGATGGTATTATTATTACTGTTTCTAAAGAAAATAGGCCTGTAACAAGCTGTGGGTAGTAAGCTGAACAAAGCAGAGACAAGAAGTTGGGCCACATCCTGAATTAGGAGACCAGGATCTTGGCAAACAATCCTACATTCACCGTGCAGGGCCCTTGGCACCGTTCGTTCAAGGACGAGAGGAAGTTGGCAGGGTCCTAGCTTTGAGTCATGGTCACGGTTCTCACAGTTACTAACTTTCAGGAGACTCCTCATTTGTGGCTTGTGAAAGGCAGATGAACAGAAATATGCACAGACGAAAGGACTGCCAGCTGCGGTCAGGGACTGACAGGGGCCACCAAGGAGTCCCCTGCCCATCTGTCCCTTGTGGCTTCAGTGACATCCCTGATTTCTTGGTCTGTGGGTGTGTGATATAAAAGGGAAAAAGAAGCTGGGAGCCCCCCTCTTTATTTTGACCAAGTACAGTCGGCCTCAGCCTTTGGCCCGGGATCGTGGGCACCTCCATGGTTCTCAGCCAGTGGGGAGCCAGGCCCCTGTGGCTCTGACCTCAGATTGTTTTCCCGGCACTTGATTTTCTGCCCTTTGCTGTGTTTGTAGATCACGTACACACACCCACCAGGTAGACTCACTGCACACAGGGGTTCATTGTGGGTCTTGGTGCTGCCCCAGGTGAGGTTGAGGTCACTGCTGTGGTTGTCGAGGGCACTGCAAGACTCCACTGACGACTGAATTTAGTTACTAAGCCTCTGCAAGGACAGTTCACAGCATGAGTTGCTCCTGGTTTTGTTTAAGATCATTTTAGTATTTCCACAAGGCTTCGTGTTTGTAGTAGTTTCCATTTGAGCATTCCGTAAATGCCTTTGTTATTTATGAACTGGAAAAATGAGGAAGGTATCTGTTTAACTACTTATTAGCCTCTGTTCCTAGACAACTTGCCATATGTTGTCTCAGAATCCTGGAAGGGGGCTTACAGATCATCGTTATCAGCCCGTGCTTGGTCAGGAACACAGAAATTTCTCCGGGTTTTTGAAACGGAGGAAATTTAACATGGAGAATTCATTATAGAAGTGTTAGAAGGATCAGAGGAACAAAAAGTGTGAAGGAAGGTTACCCAAAGATTAGGAACTGATAGAAGTGCTGTCTCCCAACCCCCTCCCCAGGACTGGAGCGCCACAGGGGACAATGGCTCATGAACCCCTGCCTGACCTGGAACCAGAATCCCACACTCACTAGAAGTGGCAAGAGCACTTTGACCTATACTCCAGAAGCCAGAACTGTCACAGGGCCCCGCCTACCTTCAGTGAGACTGGGAAATGTAGTTTACGGAGTGGCCAGAAGAAAAGAGGACAGATTTGCTGAAGACTAGTCTCTTCTTCATATGGGTACAGGAATCACTGCTGTTAGGAGAGAACAATGACCCTTTTGCAGATTCAACCTTCAAGACTGTGTCTGTGTACATATGAGCCTGACCTGTGGGCCTAAGAGGGGAGTATTTTAAAGCTGAGTTCTCCTGCCTCCTGTGTTCTACTTCCTCCCCCCACTCCCCCTACACCGACTTACTGGCCCTTCCTGGTGCTGCTGAGCTGAACTCTGTGTGCCCTGTGTTCCAGGGGGCCCTGGCCCAGCCCCAGACCTGGTGGAAGATCCAGTTATTCGTGTGGGAGCCAGTGCTGTTCGGGACCTGGGATGGTGTGTTCACATCCTGCATGATCAACATTTTTGGGGTTGTCCTTTTCTTAAGGACTGGCTGGCTGGTGGTGAGTGATGGCTTGGTGGCCCTGGAGTCCCCTGTGGGCCTGTGACATGGGAAGCTCTGAACCCTTGGGCATTCCATGCTGCAGGTGACAGATTCCTAAAGCACGGAAACATGAACAAGAAGCAAGTACACTCGATAGCTAGCATTGCTTTTAAAATGAGAATCCTGGGAAGCCGGGCCTCACCCAGGGGCTCCAGTGCAGGCCTCACCCTGGATTTAGCTACTGAAACGTGAGCACAGAGCTCAGGGCATGTCGTGGGCGGGACTGGAGGTTGGTCAGCGAGAAGTACATTTGCTTCCAGTTTGTGACCCCCTGCAGCTTTCCTGGTATTCTTCCTCTGGTCTGGTGCCCTCCTGGTGGGACCAGCTCCTCACCCACGCGGCTGCCTGCACACTGACCCGTGTTTAAGGCTGTGTTGGGGGAGGCACGGTCAGAGGTGCACACTGCCTGCAGTTGGGGCCAGATTACCTGGGGCACACCTTTTACATGAGATCGTGGGGGTCAGTTTGTCTTCCTCTGTGGAAGGAACAAGGGCCTCATTTACATCTCATATGAATGCACAGTGGGACCTCCCAGGCAGATGTGTGTCCTGAGCGGGTCCTTAGCCCTTCACACAGGACCTTCTCCCTGGGACTTCAGGAAACTCAGCGGGCTGCTCAGAACAAAAGGCCGGCTTGTCAAGAATCTTTGCTGAGCACCTAGTGTGAGCCAGGCACCCGTATGTGCCAATAGGATTACAAAATATAAGACCCTTTCCCTGATGAGTCAACAGGTTAGATTTTACATCAGGAATCTAAGAGAGGCCTCAAAGCAGCATTAAACCCCTCAGGAGTGGAACAGGCTGTGAACCTATGCTTGCCAAGGAGTCCAGGAAAGCTTCCTGAGATGTGGTTAAACCAGGTGTTGAAAGGTGAGCTGGACTGGACAGGTGCAGGAGAGAGGGGGCCATTCAAGGTGTATAGAATGGATCAGTCAGTGTTCTCTGGAGAAAACATATAACTAACTAGCTAACAAACTCACTCTCTGTCTCTGATCATTTAGTATCCGAGAGCCCTAAATTGTACGTTTTGATCTAGTCCTTACCCGTATATAAATTGATATCCCACACCAAAGAGTTTTAACTTGGCCTTGCAGAATCCAATACTTATAATAGTGAGAATTAAAAATAAAGTAGATGCATCCTTTTCAAAAAGGCCTTGGCTCAGGGGTCAGCCTTAACCATATCCAGGGTGGGTTTGATTTTTATTTTATTAGTGTGTGGGAAGCTTAGGGCACAGTCGGCAACTTCTCTGGTGTGGATGCTAAGACTTCACGCCCTCATCATCCCTCCCAAAGTTACAAAATCATGAAGTCTCCAGGTCAGACTTTTCATACTGGCAACGGTCTCAGGTTTCTGGGGTCGACCTCTCTTTCTGCCTTTTCCTGAAGGTTGCTTCACTGCCAAGTATGTCTCCAGCCTGTGTGCAAGGGAGGCCCATCAACTGACCACTGTGGCAGAGGAAGGCCTGGCCAGGGACAGCCTGGGCCACAGGGCTCTGCTTCCCGCAGGGGATGGTTATGGAGTAGAGGAAGGAGAGGAGGGTAACAGCTCTCTGTTCTGACTTTTAAGGGCCTCCTCTGAACCCTCTCACTGGGTTATTTATTTATGGTTTGTTGTGTTTTTTTTTTTTGAGAAATCCAGAGCTTTCAATTCATCTCCAAAGTGAAAGTACAAGTTATATTAGTTACCTATTGCTGCAGAACTAATTGCCCAAACACTTCACAGCCTAGAACAGTGCATACATCACCCTGCAGTTCCTGTGGCCCGGGAGCTGGGCGCCTCTGGCCCAGGTCTGCCACAGAGCGGCAGCTGGGCTGCAGTCTCACCTGAAAGCTTTCCTAGGGCAGGGTCACTTCCAAGATTACTTGCGTGGTTGACAGACCTTGTCACGTGACAGGCCTCTGCACAGGATTGTCTCATTGCATGCAGCCGGCTTCTCCCAGGGCCATCAGTCTGAGAGAGGCCAAGTGCCCAAGGGGAAAGCCCCAGTCCTTATATCTGCATCCCAGAAGTGACATCCCATCACTTCCGAAATATTCTGTTGATTAAAAGAGTCAATAGGTCCATCCCCCAGGCAAGGGGGAGGCGACTGCACAAAAGTGCCAGTAGGTGGGGCTCCCTGGGGCCGCCTTTGAAGCTACCTGCCACGCAGATGCACCCTTCCGCCTTAAAGTGGCCTCTTTTTCAGCTTTGATCTTAGTTTTATCTGACAAATCATATTTGATCATGGGAAAAAAGGCAAATGTGAAATGCCAAAAATAAAGCAGAGCTTCTGGGAGATGGCATAAAATTAAAGTAAGTGTAGGTCATGCCCGAGTGATTTTTAAGTAGAGGATGTTGGTGGAGGGGAGCAAAGGGGGGAAATTGGGACAACTGTAACAGTACAAACAATAAAAATACTAACGAAAAATAATAAATGGACAATATTAACTCTAAAGAATACTTGAGCATCAGACTTGTAATTTGAACATTGTTAGAGTGGTAATTTTGGTGTGAAAACTTAAAGGTTGGAACTGGATATTTTGTTATCACATGAGGACAAAAGCATACACATAGAAAAAAGATAGTAATGATATCATTTCATTAAAAACATGCAAGCAGTAAAATTAGAAACTCTGGATAAAATGTAATCCTGCTGGAGCTCCCGGCCCACAGGCAGAGGCCACCTTGGAGTCAGACTCCCCGAGAGAAGCACTGTAAGTGCTAAGCCCTGGGAGCTGTAGGAGCCCCGAGGAACAGGTACAGGGCAGCTTCCTGGAGGAGGAGACTCCTAGACACTGAGTCCTAAAGGGCGCGTTGGGGCGACCCTGGCAAGGAACTGAGCAGGAAAACATTCCAGGCAGGGGGTCAGCATGCTGAGAGGGTGGCGGGTGGGACTTGAGCCTGGGGCACAGGGTGAACTGAGGGGTTGTTGCAAAGGGCTGAGAGGGACTGGCGAGTCGGAGAGGAGACACGGTGGGAGCGGCCTCATCAGTAGGTTCGGTTTTACCCGATGCGGGATGGGAAGTCACTGAAGAATCTGAAGCAAGGACATTTCCCTTCATCTGGGACTTCTTCCAGGCCTTCCTTCCATGATGCTGCCATTGTCCTTTTCTGGTTACAACCCCCGTCCCGGGAGTGGGGGAGGTGGTCAGTGCCCCTCACGGGGGCCACTTCTGCTGGGGCCTCCATATCCTAACCCTTGACCTTGCTCCTTGTTGTCCCACTGCAGGGAAACACAGGAGTCCTCATGGGCATGTTTCTGGTGTCCTTCGTCATCCTGGTGGCCCTCATCACCGTGCTGTCTGGCATTGGTGTCGCGGAGCGCTGCGGTGTCGGCAGCGGTGGCGTCTACTCCATGATCTCCTCGGCCCTGGGTGGGCAGACCGGAGGCACGATTGGGCTGCTCTACGTGTTTGGACAGGTGAGCCTGGGCTGCTGGGTGGGGAACCGTGTCCTGAGGCCACTGGCATGTGCGGGACGGCTTTCTCACCTACTGTTTGCCACCTCTTCTCATCCACCTTCGGTTTGGCTTGGGGAGAGGCAAGGGTGGGACAGCTGCCCCTCTTTTTTAAATCCTTACCTGAGGATATGTTTATTGACTTTAGAGAGAGGGTAAGGAGGGGAAGGAGGGAGGGAGGTTTTTTATATATATACATACGGAGAGAGAAAGAGAGAGAGAGACATCGATGTGAGAGAGAAACATCAATCAGTTGCTTCCTGTTTGAGCCCTGACTGGGGATCAAACCTGCAGCCTTCTGGTGTGTGGGATGATGCTCCAGCCACCTGAGCCACCTGGCCAGAGCACCCTGTTTTATAGATGGGAAGATGGGAAGACTAGAGGGAACTCAGTGGCAGAGCCAAGCCCACCAACCAGCCCCGTGCCTGTGGTCAGTGCTTTCTCTCCACAGCCCTGCCTCATGGAGTCCTGACTTAAACAGGGAGGCAGGGCCTGGGCTGGAACCTTCGTTGCTGCCTGTTCTAGGGAGATGAGTGAATGACAGTGGCTGGAGTCTGTAGCAGCCGGGTGGCTTGGTTCCTGGGACACTTTTGCTCTGAAGAGGGGACATCTTGCCCACGCCACAGGACTTTCCTAGAAGCAGACACTTCTCAAATGAGCCAGAGCTCTAGGCGCACTGAGAGCTAGACGGCCTTCACCGGGAGGTTGGGAGCCCCTGTGGACCCCTGTCTGAGAAGGGGAGTGCTAATGAGGAGACCGCATCACCATGGTGGCCAAGGCTCTCAGAAAACCAGAGACCAGGGAGGAATGTGATGCTTATTTAGCTGAGACACAGGGATGGTGACCTGTGCAGAGGAAACACGTGCAGACATTAAGAAGCAGCTCTTTGTAGGCACTCCTCAGCTTTTATGATTGTGCAAAAGGGGGGTGGGTAGTTGAAAAAACAGCTTAATGAAAAGAATTTGTCTAAGTAAGACTACAAGAGTCTCTTCAAAGAAAGCATCAGTTTTGTTTCTTTTACTTTTAAGCAATAGGGGCAGGGTATTTTAGCCTAAATATATCTGGTTCTCCAACAGCACAAGGCTCCGTGTGTGTGTAACACAGATGTAGAAGGCACATGCGATATCGCTACACTCTTAAAAATCACTGGCCTTGGCCCTGGCAGGTGTAACTTGCCAGCACTTGAGCGCTGGCCTGAGAATCAAAGGGTCACCTGTTTGATTCCCATTCAGGGCACATGCCTGGATTGTGGACCAGGTCCCCAGTAGGGGGCGCTAGAGAGACAAACACACATTGTAGTTTCTCTTCCTCTTTCTCCCTTCCTCTCTCTCTAAAAATAAATAAATATTAAACAAACAAACAAAAAAAAAAACACTGGCCTTTACTGGATCTTTTCTTTATGATGTTGTACTTTTTATTTATTTTTAAATCACTTAAAAATTTTTAAATTTCAGTTGACATACAATATTATATCAGTTTCAGGTGTATAACAGTGATTAGACATATAACTTACAAAGTGATCACCTGGATAAGTCTAGTATACATTTGACACTATACATAGTTATTACAATATTACTGACCATATATTCCATATACTATACTTTACATTCTGGTGACTGTTTTTATACCTGACAATTTGCAAATCTTATTCCATTCCCCTTTTCCACCTTTTCTCCAAACCACCATCCCATCTGGCAGCCATCAACATGTTTTCTATATCTATGAGTTTGTCACTTTATGTTGTTTTTTAGGTTCCACATATAACCGAAATCATATGGTATTTCTCTTTGTCTATCTGATTTCACTCAGCACAAAACCTTCTGGGTCCATCCATGTTGTTGCAGAAGGCAAAATTTAATTATTTTCCTATGGCTGAGTCATATTCCATTGTATATATGCACTGCTTCTTTATCCTCTCATCTACTGATGGACACTTAAGTTGCTTCCTTATCTCGGCTGTTGTAAATAGTGCTGCAATGAACATAGAGGTGCTTATGTCTTTGTGAACTAGTATTTTAGGTTTTCTTCAGAAATAGAATTGCTGGGTCCTCTTTTGTGTTGTATAGCCTTTGTTTTGAAGTCTATTTTGTCTGATATAAGTGTTACCACCCTAGCTTTTTTTTGGCTCCATTTGCATGAAATATCTTTTTCCATCATTTTATTTTCAATGTGTGTGTATCTTTTCATATAAAGCGGGTCTCTTGTAGGCACATATGTGTAGGTCATATTTTCTTATTCATTCAGCTACACTATGTCTTTTGATTGGAACACTTAGTCCATTTACATTTAAAGTAATTATTGATAGGTATGTAGTTATTGCCATTTGTTATTCATGTTTTTAATCTTTTTCTTTTTAGAGAAGTCCCTGAAACATTTTTTTTGTAAGAGAGGTTTGTTGGTGATGAACTTCTTAAGCATTTTCTTGTCTGTGAAGTGCTTTTTTTAATACCGATTCTTAATTTTTCAGTTCCAGTTGATATACAACACTATGCTAGTTTCAGGTGTGCAGCCCAGTGACCAGATACCACATAATCCACCAAATGACCATCGCAGTGAATCCCGTACCCATCTGATACCACGCATAGCTACCAGATCACCTCTGACTATATTCCCTATGCTGTACCCACATCCCTATGACCATTCCATGACAACCAATTTGTACTTAAAAAAAAAAAACTTTATTCATTTATTTTTAGAGAGAGGGGAGGGGAGGGAGAAAGAGAGGAAGAGAAACATCAATGTGGGAGAGAAATATTGATCAGTTGCCTCTTGTACATGTCCTGACCAGGACCAAACTCACAACTCAGCCACATGCCCTGATCAGGAATTGATCAGGCAACCGTCCCCTTTGCAGGATGACTCCCAACCAAATGTGCCACACCAGTGATGGCAGAATAAATCTGTACTTCTTAATCCCTTCACCTTTTTCACCCAGCTCCCAACACCCCTCCCATCTGGCAACCATCAAAATGTTCTCCGTATCTATAATTCTACTTCTGTTCGGCTTGTTAGTTTAATTCGTTTTTTTTTTTTAGATTCAATTATTGATAGAATGGATTTATTGTGATTTTATGGTTCATATTTTAAATTTTCTTCTTCTTCTTTTTAAAGAAGACCCTTTAACATTTGTTGTTATACTGGATTGGTGGTGATAAACTTCTTTAGGTTTTTCTTGTCTGGAAAGATCTTTCTGTGTTTTTCAATTCTAAATGATAGCTTTGCTGGGTAGAGTAATTTTGGTTGTAGGTCCCCACTTTTTAGCACTTTGAATATTGCTTGCCAGTCTCTTCTATCCTACAAAGTTTCTGTTGAGAAATCAGCTGACAGAGACATCTGACAAGATGGTGTTGGAGTAACAGAATATAGCATGCGCCACCTCCCAGAACCACACTGGAAGCAACATTAAAGAGGAAAACAATCACCTCAGTTAAACCAAAAACTACCTGAGAAAGAGATTTTTAACCAAAGACAACCAAAACAGTACCCCTAGACTGGTAGGGAGGGCAGGGATATCTTAAAGGGGCTTGTCCTGTACACACAGGTGGTAGGCTGAGGCAGTGACACAGCTGTGGGAGCATCCCCTTGAGAGGAGTGAAGCCAGGACCACAAATTCTGCTTCCAAACACAGAGAACCAGTGCCAAGATTGGCACACGATGTAGCATCCAGGGGTGAAAGGCTACAGGGCTCTCTCTGCTGAGGAGAGGTGAAAACCACTGGGGGACTTCCAGCCAAGATGGAGGCATAGGTAGACACACTACGCCTCCTCACACAACCAAAACAACAACAAATTTAAAAACAAAAACCCGGAACTGACAGAAAATCAAACTGTGTGGAATCAAACTCCTTTAACCAAGGAGTTAAAGAAGAAACATTCATCTAGACCTGTAGAAGGGGCAGAGATGGACAGCCAGGTGGACAGGACCAAGGCAGGCAAGGCAGTAGCTGGCAGACCTGGTGTTCCCACATTCATGTGCAGATAAACCAGGCGGAATAACTGGGGGGGTAGACAGACCCGGCAACTCAGGGTTCCAGCACAGGGAAATAAAGTCTCAAAGCCTCTGACTGAGAACACCTGTGGGGGTTGAGGTGGCAGTGGGAGAAACTCCCAGCCTCACAGGAGAGTTTGTTGGAGAGACCCACAGGTTCCTAGAACATACACAGGCTCACCCACCCAGGAACCAGCACCAGAAGGGCCCAATTTGCTTGTGGGAAGCAGGGGAAGTGACTGAAAGCCAGCATAGAGCAGAGCAAGCAGCATTGTTCCCTCTTGGATGCCTCCCCCACATACATCATCACAATGCAGCAAAATGAGTTGCCCCATCCTGGTGAACACTTAAGGCTCCACCTCTTACTATGTAAGAGGCGTGCCAAGACCAAAAAAAAATTGCAGAAATGAAAGAACACTTCAAAGCTCCAGAAAAAAAATATAATTAAACAATGAAGAGATAACCAACCTATCAGACACACAATTCAAAACCCTGGTTATCAGGATGCTCCAGGAACTCACTGGGTACTTCAACAGCATAAAAACACCTAGGCAGCAATGAAGGTGACATTATGTGAAATAAAGAAAAGTCTACAGGGAACCAACAATGAAGGAAAGGAAACCTGGACTCGAATCAATGGTTTGGAGCAGAGGGAAGAGAGAAACATTCAACCAAAACAGAATGAAGAAACAAGAATTCAAAAAAATGAGGAGACACTTAGGAACCTCTGGGACATCTTTAAACATTCCAACATCTGAATCAAAGGGGTGCCAGAAGGAGAAGAAGAAGAGCAAGAAATTGAAATCTTATTTGAAAACATAACAAAGAAGAACTTCCTTAATCTGGCAAAGGAAATAGACTTCCAGGAAGTCCAGGAAGCCCAGAGAATCCCAAAGAAGTTGGACCCAAGGAAGAACACACTAAGACACATCATAATTACATTAGCCAAGATGAAAGATGAGAGAATCTTAAAAGCA